GGGTCTTGTAGTACTAGGGAGCCTGCAGATTCAGCTGGGCTAGAGGGAGGGGATGTAGTGCCTGGCGAGTCTGGCGCCATATTGGGGCCTACCATGTTTTTCGTGAGCCTCCTTGGAGTCCCTGAAATATTTCGTCAGGGCTCCGGTTTTTGCTGCCACTGACCTCCCTGTCGTTCTCTGGGATGAGGGCGTGCGTTTGGGGTGTCCCATGTTGATTTGTTAGCCCGATGTCCGTGCATTAAGTGCCTTCCTTGCCGGAGCTCTGCTACTGTGCAGCCACCCCGGTCGGCAGTTGGCTCCGCCCCACCCTACCTGTACACTTTTATTTCTTTCCTTAGATATATCAGTTTTCTTCCTCCCATATACGCCTTCAGATATGCAAATCCCCCCGCACTCTATTGCCATTAACTATAAATGATTCCTAGAATTACCCAGGAAAATATTTAACAGTTCCTTGAAATCAGTGACCAACTAAACACAGGTCCTCTCTAGACATGCTTAAAATATAAATAAAATAGCAGAAAGTCATTGCGCCATATATTGTCGCATTTAATATATAAGGCTATGTATTGCCACCCCAGATGATTGAGTAATATATAGCCTTACATACTACATGTATATATCTCAAATATATAATGCTTTTTCTAATATAAAATATTGGTTCTTTCAGAGTAAAATGTTTAATTATACAGTAAGCATACTCACATGCAGATACAGACAATCTCACTGACACACACAAGATCACTGACATAAAAACACATGCTCACTCACTAGCAGGCACACACACACACACACACACATGCAAGCTCACTCACTAGCAGGAACACACACACACAACTTAATGTAGATGTTCTGGTGTCTATAGCCTGCCCCTGCAGGCTTTTCAATGTAAACACTAACCTTTCAGAGAAAAGGCAGTGTTTACATTGCTTCCTAGTGACACCTCTAGTGACAGTCACTCAGATGGTCACTAGAGGTGCTTCCTGTGTCTGTGCTGCACAGTGTGGCAGCCACTACTACCCCTGTGGCCGCCATCACAGCTCCTTCTACGGCCGCCAGCACACTCAGCTGTCTGCCCGGCCCCAGCTGCCGACGGTCCACTGGGAAATTTCCCAGTATTGTGGTGGGCCAGTCCGGCCCTGGCAGCAAGGTGTGTAGGCACTTCACAGTGAGTAAAAACACTCTAAGGTGTACTACTGGTTTATCCCCTTCACCATATAACAGTAAAAAACACAAAAAATATAATATATAAAAATAATAAAATATAAAATGTAACAAATATTATTTTATTGAATATGAAATTGGTTTTAAAATTTTCCAGAATTGTTTGTTTTCCTCTTTTTTTAGAATTAATTTGTTATTCAAATCTAGATTTCTAGAATTAAAAGATAAAGTAATCTGTTTTTCTTTCTACTTTTAAAAAAATACAATCTAGTCTCATCCTTTTGAGTAAGCCTTATATGTCACAGTGTTTTATTTTTGTGCAATTATGCAGAGAAAGTAAAATGTCAGCCCACTGAGGCCTGATAACAAGTAGTCCAGATGTGGGTGATTATAATTTGTGCCATCTCATAAACATCTCCACACATTCTTCTTATAATACCATACGCTCGGTCTTCTATGACTTCACTGTACATGATGAGAAGTGCTTTATTTTTTGTTCTTCCGGCATCTAGATCCCACGCTGGTTTGGCTTGTTGGCAATGATTGATTACCCAATATCTAATTAAACCTGATCCAATCACTTATTATGCAGAGTGGAACAAACAAACTGAAGTTGACTGTCAGGTAGGTGATTGATGATACTGCCAATCCAGCTTTTGTTATGTCTAATGTCCTGACGCTTGTAACAACCAGCCAAAGCAGTGCTGGACAAAATGTTCTGTCATTCTCCACATGAATTCTGCCTTGCACCTTTTATTTTTCAAATTAACTCTTCTTACAATAATAATAAGGAAATATTCAGAAGCATATATTTATGTTAGGCCCTATAATCATATCAAGACCCCCCAAGGTTCTAAGTAGTGCTTAAGTGATAAGGGATGTGTATATGCATTAGTTGAGGAAAGTGTGTAACAGACATTAGCAATGGGGGGTACATTGTCTATGATAATGAACTTACCTGGTAGAAGATGACAGATATGTGTTAAAGTGAACCTAGCAGGATGATAATTTCTTTTATAGTGTATTCCATGCTGGATTCTCTTAGTGGTGCATATTTATAAATCTTTCAGCTTTAATGTTTTAATAATTTAAAATGCAAATACGTTTTAGAGCAAGGCAGCATCAAATTCCCTAAACATATTCAAATTCTGTGTTAACACTTTAAATGTGTCAACTTTTATTTATTTCATTCAGATTCTGAAATATATGATTCTTGACAAATTGTTCCATCATTTGGAAAGATTTATAAATGTACTTGTATATACTAACAAAGATTTGAAAGTTGTAATTTGTTTTAATAGAAAAAAACAGTGTCACTATGTATTTATTTATTATTTTTAAATGTCAGGTACATTTTTTAAGGTTTAATACTATATATGTTAATAATGCTTTGTTGTATCAAACATGTTTATATAAACTAACATTTTTTACCATATACGTGGGAACAGAGAAGAAAACGTGTTATGCATGTACAGGAAATGTGTAATTATAAACAGTACATCACTGTCTAAATCACATACTTGCTAACTAGCAGGATTTTATTAAAAAAAAATCTAATTTGTGATACAGACTTTGAATAAAGGTATGGCATTAATAACCAAAAAGTTTAAAGAATAAAGAGCTTGTGCAATGCTAATAACTGAGTGTGACGCGTAACCTGGCCACTGGCTTTTGGAGGGGCCTGTTTGCCAGCCTCCTGCCCTGTAACTATGGCCCTGTGGTAGACTTTGTTTAAAAACACTGTTTGTGCCTCTTGGACTTATAATAGGAATAATTTGATCTTCCAAAGCGGCACTTCAAACTCCCGAACTCCCATAGCCAATCGAAGTGGCATTTGAACACGTGGCAGTGGACATTTTGTTTAGTCGAACGCATCCAGCAGCGCGAACACTGCTAAACTTTTACCTTCCACGGATGTTCGGCTATTCAAACTGGAGTCAAACGGTATTCGGTAAGAAGAAACTCCGACCAAGAGACATACACTGACTGTACTCATGAACGGCTATGTTCGGTATTTTGGACGTTACTTTGAATCCCCGAAGTAGACCGGCCGCACAGCCTGATTCTCTGAAACTGTTCTGTGCATGGAACCATTAATGGGTTAATGCAGTATCTGATCCAATTATCTCCCAGGCAGAGGATTGTGTGTGGGTGTGGGAGTGTCGAGCCTTGTAATCTTATTGTTATTGGTTTGTAAGTTCGTGTCACAGTCCCCAACAAGGTCCATGTGGGCGTACCCCTTGCATGGGGGACTTGCATAAAAGGCCAAGTATGGCTCCCATTAAACTGAGATTCATTTTACCCTTCATGAAGTTTTGGCTCATGTTTAGGTGATTGGAGAACTACATTTACTCTAGGGATTGCAATATCACAATACTCCCCTGAGTATATTCACTAGCTCTTATAAGAGCTGTTCCTGCTATGCTCTCTGGACTAGGATAGATCTACCCACTGGAAGCTGGATCCTGGTGTTGGGTCCAGGGTGGGTGAAGTACAGCGAGACTCCAACCAAGCTGCGGCAGTTCTTGGAGTTTACAATGGTTATGGTGTTCCAGTACAGTACTTATGGTGCTCGCAAATACTAGGAAGCAGCGATTGACGGAGGTACCCAGTCAGGACGCCAGGCAGTCCATCACACTGAGAAACAAAGACACACCAGATTTCCTTATTAGATACATCAGTATTCGATGAAGTATAGATACAATATGATAATCAGTACTGGAACTTTTTCAAATTAGTAGGATCATGTTCCTTTTTTTTGTCAATCTTTGTTTATTGATTTGTTTTTGTTTCCAAGGTTAGTATGAGATACAGAAATAAGAAATAGGAAAACATTTGAATAACATTGGTTATGATACATAAATTCGATGAAGTATATCACTCAAGGAGCTTACACTATGCAATAGGACATATTGGTTTTTGGGTCACAGTGTAAGTTCTTGGCATATAGGTTGGCCGTTTCGCTCAACCAAACATTATCCTGTATCTGAGGCCCACATTTGGAAGGTAGCTGAAGTATAGCAGTATTGTAATATCATAGTAGTGAAAAGGTGCATGGTCTTCTCACCCCAGGGTTTTTCCTTGGTATTTCCCCATGTATGCTTCTTTCATTTACCGGGAATCCTGGTGTTGTATGTGTCAAGTGAGTATTTTGTCCCTCTCAAGTCTCTCCTGTTGTCCCCCTGTGCTGTCACTCATTTGGATTATAACATTAGGAGGGGTCATGATATTATTTCCATCATATATAAGAGGGGTGTGAATACCTCCAATCTGTGTACCCTAGAGGATATCCCCTAGAGTGGGTCCAAAGTGTATATCGCCCATTTATCCAGGAATCCAGGTGCACGAGGGAAGAGCAAAATATAGTGCTAGTTCCATTTAATTGCCTATCGATATTGGTGTTTCAGTCTTGGCTAGAGGGACAAGAAAGGTGGATGAGCAATATTTGGCAAGTGTAGTATGTTAGATTTGCTGTAGGAAAAGGAGGAGAAGAAAGCGGAGAGAAAGAGAAAGGGTGGAGAGTGAAAGAGGAAGAGAGGAAGAGGAGAGAGGGAAAAAAGGGAGGTTAAAGGCTTGGAACGTTGGCAGTTCGGTTCACTAACACAGAACTGGGATCAGCGAATTTAACTGCCGTGAATATGTACCGAGAAACAGTTTTCTTATATGTTGATATGGGTAGGTCCGATCTGTTGAGTAAGATATCTGCTGAGTCGAAAGCAACCTCCTCATCAGCTACTTTCTGCATTGCCTTGTATATTTGTTTCCAGTAAGGTGTTTGGATAGGACTAGAATATATGGAGGAGAGTTCCCACCCCTTTTCCGCACTTCCAACAGACCTGATGTTTTAAGTAAATAATTATGGATCTTCTGTGGTGTGTCATACCACTGGGTGAGTATTTTATAGTTAATTTCCTGATATCTGGCACATCTAGAGCTGAGGACTGTGTACATGGCCTTCTCATCCCATTCCTGAGGAGTGAATAAGGTATGTAATGCCTCTTCCCACAGTGATTGGAACTTCATTGGGGGGGTAATTTCTGCTAGCTGCAGGAGTGCATACAGGAGTGATATATTGCGATGAAGGTCCTCTCCTTTCGAGCATATGTCCTTGAATGGGAGCAATGGTCTTGTAAGTTGTAGTTGACGGGCCACCGGATCATGAAAGTGGGTCAGCTGGTGGTATCGGAAGCGTTCAATCAAAGTGGGTTTGCGGTCTTGCAGGAGTTCCCGAAGAGGTATCAGAGCACCTCCCCTGCAGAGCTCCAAGAGACTCATGTGGTGGCCCTCCCTAGGAACTCCAAGGTTTGTATTTCTTGTCCCGTCAGGAATGCTGTGTTGCCAGTAACTGGGTTCATTGGACTGGTTAGCATTGTGAGGGAGAGCTGAAAAAGGGTTTGGTACCAAACTTTCAGGGTCACCCCAATAAAGGGTTGTTCACGAATCAACTTTTTGGATATATCGGCGGGCAGCCGCACTACTCCCAGGATACCCCCACCTGAAACCTCCCTCTCCAATTTTATCTAGATCCTCTGTGACTGTGAGCTCTTATCATGCCAGGCTATGATTCTTGATAGATGCATTGCTCTATAATAACCCAGTATGTCTGGTAGACCAAGTCCCCTTTACATTTTGGTCTCATCAGTTGCCTTAGACGTAGACGCGGTATGCATCCTTTACATATTAATTTTTTTAGGGCTGAGTTGAGTCGGATTGAAAGAAGTTGAGTGGAAGGCCAATCAGGATCCTCTGGAACAGGTACAGGTATAGGATCCGAGGTAGTATATTCATCTGATTATGAGTCCTCAGACACTGAGTCCTCAGACACTGACAAGCACTACACCTTTAAGTTCACAACTCCCACCTCCACTCTTACCCAGTACCAGCAACCCATGTGGCAGCCTGAAAAAAGGAGTTGATTTTTTTAGAGATGATCCATCAGGAGGTCTTCCCGAATTATCAGACACACTACCAATCCAGGAATCAGGGAAAGGGAGGAAGGAGAGGAGGGGGGAGGAAGAGACGTCCTGGAGTGCAACATGGTTATGTCCCAAAATTACAGGTGATTAATTTATCTTCCTTTCAATTGAATAAATCTCACTGTGAAATCTTGGAGAAGGGGCTTTCTTTGGTGCCAACTCCAGCATTTGATAGATTCACATGGATAAAGGAGTTACAATTGTTTGTACGTAAATTGGCTCTATTTAAATTTCATGAGATAAACAAAGAAAAGAAAGCACGCTCTTTGGGCCTCTCTAGTATGGACAGATTGCCTTAACAATTTGGTCTCTCTCCTTGATGACAACGATGCTCAACTATCGACTACTTATACTAATTTGAAATCTAAAAGCCACTTTACTCCTAACTTTGCACCCTTTAGGAATATTGATCTTTTTCTTGACGCTGTAAAAAGTGAGATTGACGGCATTTACTGTTCTAAATTTCCCTCCTTTCCTAATGATAATCTATCTAAAAGCGAGCATAATGCTTTAAAATCACTGAGAGATAACAACAATGTGATTATCAAACAGGCGGATAAAGGAGGGAATGTCGTTGTTATGGATACATCTAAGTATGAGAGAATGGTGTTGTAGGTTTTGGGGAATGTTGATACTTATTCCATTCTCCCTTCTGATCCAACTATCTCCTTTCTAGAGGGATGTAAAGTTATCTTGGATGAAGGCCACAGTGGAGGGTTGCTTTCAGATGAGGAATACTACTTTATTCTTAATCACCATCCAAGGATAGCAACCTTCTACTGCCTGCCGAAAATCCATAAGAATATGGAAGACCCACCAAGGGGTTGATAATTTAACTCAAAATGGTAGTCTCTATATTGATCAGATTCTTAGACCATTTGTTGAAAGCTTACCTTCTTATATTAGAGACACTAAGCAGGCACTCTCTCTCCTCTCTATTCTCCATTTTGAACCAACGGCTAATCTATGTAGCCTTGATGTTGAGGCCCTGTATTCCTCTATTCCACATCAGAGGGGTATTGAACATGTTAAATATTTCCTTGATAAAAGGCGTCCAGAACAGCAGGCACACACAACATTCACTCTCAAGCTACTGAATTTCATCCTGTCCCACAATTACTTTCTGTTCCATAATAAATACTACCACCAGATACGAGGTACAGCAATGGGTACGGCGTGTGCGCCTTCTTATGCTAGCTCCAGCTAGGGTGGTGGGAGGAACAGATTAAGACATCAAAGATTCTATCCATTTCTGTCCAAGATCATTTTCTGGTACAGATACATAGATGATGTCATTATAGTGTGGCAGGGCAATAACAATGAGTTTGATGATTTTGTGTCTCTCCTCAATATGAATGAGGACAATCTTAAATTCACTGTGGAATTTGGAGGTTCTTCCCTAAACTTTTTAGATCTTACGATTTCAATCTCCAAAGATGGGTCTCTGGTTACTACTCTTTTTAGGAAACCTTCTGCATCTAATTCCCTTCTCAAATGGAACAGTTTCCATCCAAGATCTTTAAAACAGGGTATCCCTACTGGGCAATACCTTAGATTATGATGCAATTGTACAGATCTGGCGGATTTTCAAATGAAAGCCAAGATCCTGAGACAACAATTCAAAGAGAAGGGTTATCCTAATAGATGTCTTAAGAGAGCATTGATAATTGACAGGGCTGACCTCTTGTCAGATTCCCCAGCATCAATTAATGCTACCGATAAAACCATCAGGATGATTGGTACATTTGATACCGGTTGGGATGAGGTTAAAAGAGCTATGCAGAAGTTTGGGCCTATTCTACTTAAAGATACCCATCTGAAAGAGATTCTGGGTCCACAAGTTTCCATTTCAGCTAGGAGGGGTAAGAACCTCCGCGATATCCTTGTACCCAGCCATTTTACCTCTAAACAACTCTCTAATATTACATGGCTTGGACGAAGGATTCCCGTTGGTTCATTTGGCTGTGGTAGATGTGTAGCCTGTAGATACATCCTTAGAGACTCTAAGGAGGTGATGGACAGTGAAGGTAAACATATTTTCCAGATTGCTCACTTCTTTAACTGCAACTCAGTGGGGGTAGTGTACCTCCTCACTTGTAGCTGTAAGTTGATGTATGTGGGCAAAACGTTTCGCCCGTTTAAAGAACGTATAAAAGAACACGTTAGATCACCTAAGAATTGATTTGACACTCCCATTTCCAGACATCTAAAGGAACAACATAGTGGTTCCTCTAAAGACATTCGGTTCTGTGGTTTAGAACTTGTTAAGCGCGATCAAAGACGGGGCGATTTTGATAAAATCTTACGCCAAAAAGAGTGCAGGTGGATCTATAAATTGAACACTCTTAACCCAAAAGGTCTCAATGAAGGGTTCTCCTTTTCTCCATTTATTTGATAGACCAATACGTATCTTTGTATCTTTCTAATAATTATAAAAATTTCTTTGTTTCCTGTCTTTCTAGTATGATTTGTACCGATCTCACTATTTAGTGAATTTGTTTATTTGTTTGTGATCTTTATTGTACACATTATATGGTATTTTCATTAGTTTCAAACCTTGGTATGTATTTTTTGGATACTAGTTGCAATTAGATGAAAAGATCTATATTCAAGGTTTTTTTGAATTTTTTTGGAATATTTTGGCCTGTTAATCTCTTTCATATGCAGTAATTTTTAGCTTGATAGATTCTATAGTGTTTCGTTCGGTTTTCATAGTTTACTATATTGGGGACACTGACTATATGTTTTTATAAACATTAGAATAAACCCCTTTTATTTTTACTATATTAGTATTTGCCTTAGAATTCTCAGAGAATCTCTCAGAGTTATTTAGATAACTTAAATTTATACTTCGAACATATACTTTAAGCAACTTAAACCTGCTCTCTGCTTGTTAGATCTACAGTTTATTATTACCATCTCATTATGTTACTTTTTGATACTATATCAACATCGTATTTGAATAGTTCTTTGGCCTTGTACCATACTTGTAATATTAGTATCCATTTATTATGCCGACGTTAAGTTCCTCCCTCTTGGACACACGGAGGGAACGTGACTATTACACCCACCTCCCCTGATTGGTCCAATCTGTGGGTGAGGTGAGCTGTCACGTCTTCGTCACCCTCAGGTTTTGATTGGAGATTCGGAATCTGGGGGCGTGGCTATAGACCTTTATAAACGGCTCCCGAGCCACTTACCAGGTTTCTCTTGATAAAGGTGTATTTCAACGTTAATGTTTTTGTAGGTTTTGTATTTGGCTATGATGTTTAAGAATAAGACCAGCAGTTGCTCTACATAAAACAGAAGGTCATCTGCATAGGCAGAGACCTTATGCTCTACCCCGGTGAATCGAATTCCATGGACTTATTTCTTATTTCAGTCTGCTAAAGGAACACTATAGGTACCCAGGCCACTTGAAAGTTCTACGCTTTGGACTACACAATTTGATAAACCAATTTGATCACCTTCTCACAGCAAATTCTCAACATAATTGCATCAAGAACAAATGTACCATATTTAGTGCTATCATGAAAACACAATCTTATTTATGTACACAAACACAAAATTTCTGTTTGGAAATCAACATTCAAGTTTCTTCCCTTATCCAGAGTGAATGCTGATGAAATTTAGTGCTCAGTAAATGTCAAAATTCTTAGAATTTAGATATTTCCAAGTTTATTGTTTTGAATGATTTAAGATATTTGTGAGCTAGTCCCTAGTGGTTCATGGGATCCTTGGAGAAGGCACAGATCGCAAAGTGGGACATGTCTGGTTCTAAAGCTGGGGACCAGTCTACCATGATCCTATTACATTCCCTAATTTACTTCTTTATTTATTGTAGTGAATCACAAATGTGGGAAAATTAAAGGATTTTAACCAATTTTTGCTACTGAGACTCAAAATTACACATGTGCACATATCCCTTAGTCTACCTGACATAAGGAGGTCTATATAACTGAATTAGGCATGAAGAATTCTGCCTAGTATAAGTCTTGTGCTAGAGTTGGATGTTCATTAACAGTTTATCTTGCTTTGCAGTCTATTTTCATTCAAGCTCATTAATGTAAATAAATGTGCTACATCTATTCACATTTGCATGATTCCCTATACTCCTTTTATTAACAAAAAAATGCAAGGAAATTATAGATAGAAAGATGAATGTTTCATTTTTACAAAGAAAGTTTCTAACATGAATTTGTTCATAGCAAAGTGAACACTACACTGGGAGGTCAGTGGTCCATCCAATACAGAAGGTTCTTCACATATTTTTCAACATATTGAGATTGATCCACATTA